CACCCCCCCACCCCCCTAAAAAGCTGATCCCAAATAGAAAAGGAGCAGTGGGTGTTAGTCGGCCCCGTCGACATGCAGGGGGGTGTGCGGGGGCCCCGGCCGGGGGGCACAGGGGTGCCCGTTGAGCTGGGTGGGCACCGGGCTCTTCTTGGGGGCCAAGGGGCAGGAGGCCCCCCCGGGGCAGGCGCGTTTGGGGCTGGGGGCCGGTCGCTGCATCTTGTGCTCCAGCAGCATGTGGTTCTGGGGGGGCAGCCCCAGGCAGGCCCTGGGGGGGCACAGAGAGAGAGAGAGAGAGGAGGGGTCAGGGGTGGGCACCCCGGGGCTGGGGAAGGGGGGTGGGGGTGGCATGGGGCGCCCACAGGGTGGGGGATGCGGTGTGTTGGGAACTGGGGGCACAGGATGGGCATCCCAGGTGCTGGGAGCCACTGGTGCTGGGACCAGTGAGCACTGGGACCCACTGGAGTTGGGCATCCAGAGCACTGGGAGCCACTGGTGCTGGGACCAGTGAGCGCTGGGACCTACTGGAGTTGGGCATCCCAAGCACTGGGTACTGGGACCCACTGGTGCTCGGACCCATTAATACTGGGCACTGGGAACCACTGGAATTGGGCATCACCAGGCACTGAAAACCCCGGGCATTTGTGACTGGGAACCACTGGAATTGGGCACCCCAGGCACTGGGAACTCGGGGCACGGGGACCCACTGGTGTAGGACCCCCTGGGCACTGGGTACCAGGGTCTGTGTGTGTTGGACACCCTGGGTATTGGGGCTCCACTCCCACTGGGCACCCCAGGATTGGGAACCAGGGACCCATCTGTGCTGGGACCTATCGGTGCTGGGCATCACCAGGCACTGGGACCCCCAGGACCTGTGGGCATCACTTGTCAGGACATACTGGCACTGGGTACCCCAGGCCTTGGGCTCCAGGACCTGCTGGACTTGGACACCCCACTGGTGCTGCCACCTTGGGTATCACACTGCCAGCCTTTGGGTGCCACTGTGGGCACCGGGGCGGGTGGGACGTGGTGCCCACGAGGACAGGGGGGGACCCCCGGGTACCTCAGGATGTTCTCGATGCAGCTGCGCTGGCGGAAGAGCGCGTTGACCACGGGGGTGCCCTCGGGCACCAGCGGGGCCTTGCAGAGGAAGGCGAGGATGGAGAGGACGCTGTGGAAGCCCTGGAACTCGGGGTCGGCCTCGGTGCAGAAGGTGATGCGCTGGCACAGCTCCGTCAGGATGGCCAGGTCCAGGATGATGGGGCTGGCCAGCAGCGAGTCCTGCGGGCGCCGGGGGGTGAGGAGCCACCCCCTGGCACCGCGGGGACACCCCGGGGACACCGCGGGGACACCCTGGGGACACCCCGGCCGCCCCCCACGCACCTCACAGGTGTTGTGGATGACGATGGTGTTGGTGCCGCCCATCATGATCTCCGACGTGTACTCGTCCAGCGCCCGCTTGCTGTCCCCCACGTAGGGCACGTACTTGATCACCACCTGCGAAGCCATGTCCCTATCACCCCCACTGCCACCCCTGCATGTGTGTCACCCCCTGTGCCCCTCCCAACTCACGCAGTGGTCAGGCTTGTCCTGGGGCCCGTAGAGGATGGGGTTGGCCTGCACCGTGTCGTCCACCACGTTGCTCTTGGAGATCTCCTTGGAGCGAAACTGCTGCGGCGCCGAGAGGTTCTTCCCGTCGTTGTTGCCCAGGTGGTTGTAGCTCACGATGGATTTGGTCTGGGCGGGGGGGTGAGGGCGAAGTCACCCCCTGCCACCACCAGGTGCCCGCCCAGGACAGCTCCCTGTCCCCCCACCCTGATGTACCTTGAGCCCGGCGCCCACCAGGAAATCCACCAGCACCGACTTGAGCTTGGTCTGACCCGACTTGAAGTCGTCGCCGCCGATGAAGACGCGGCGCTGGGCGGCCAATTCCACGGCCCCCGGCACGAAGGTGTTCTGGGGGGAGCCGTTGATGTAGGCACAGCCCTCCAGGATGGAGGCCACGGCGAAGAGCGTGGACGGGGACACCTCCAGGCCTTTCTGCGGGGGGTGGACAGGGGACGGTTCAGCACCCGCCGGGGCGGGGTTGTCACCCTCCCACCCCCCCTTGGCCACAGCCCGACCTCGATGGCCCTCAGCAGGTTCTCGGCGGTGTCGTTGAGCCCCGGCACGACATCACAGAACCTCTCGGTGTTGGCCGTCCACAGCACGATGACTTTGTCCAGCCCCATGATCTCCTTGAAGTCCCGGATGTCCCTGCGGATCTGCTCCACCTGGGACGCGGCCGAGAGGGGGGACGTGTCACCGCTGTGGCCTCATCTCCCCGTGTCCCCGTGTCCCCTCCCACCCTGTGCCACCCCCACCCCCGGGGACCTGCTGAGCCATGGAGCCCTGGAGGACGTTGTCCGCCCGCTCCTCCTGGTTGGCGGCGATGAACTCGGGGATGTAGATGGAGGGTCGGGGCTTCATCTTCTCCATGTGGGGCCAGAGCTGCTCCTGCAGCGGCCAGTCCAGCACCTCCGCCCGCCGCATGGCCTCCGCCAGGTTCAGCGAGGAGATGTCCCAGCCTGGGGGACACGGGGTGACCCAAGCGATCAGGGTGACCCCACCCACACACACACACACACATTTTGGGGTGCACCCCCCCGGTGTCCCACCTACCGTCAAAGATGATGTCGTTGGGGTGCACCATGGGCAGCAGGTCCCGGAAGGGCACGTAGACGTCCCCAGTGGGGCCGGTGCCCAGGCACACGGTGGAGGCTTGGAGCAGGGAGCCGTAGTAGTTGGCTTTCTGGGATGGAGAGGGTGAGGATGAGCCGCTGGCGTGGGGATTAGGGGGGTCCCAGCACCTCCAGACT